CTAATTTGCTGCTTATTAATAGTTAGTAAGGTAGTTGTTAAGTTTAGGTATGGAGATCTAAAATATGCTCATGCAGAATCATTCATTAATATGAACTTTATAAGTACTAATAAACAGCCAATATGCTAGTAATATGCATGCTAATAAGCAATTAGTTAATAGTGAGAACTGGTCCTTAAAATAAAGTGTTACCAAACAAAGTAGCCAAAGGTACACTGACCCTATTGGTATTGAATTTGTCTTATACAAAAAGAAAAGAAAAGAAAAGAAAAGAAGAAAATTCACATTTTCTCCTTCAGGTGACACCATGGTTAAGATGTCATTAGTGTACTGTATTTTGTGACCAGTCTCGCCCTCTCCAGGGGTAAGCAGGGCGAACTCCAGCTGGGATATTGCATCAAAACACTTCCTCAGATGAGGCTGCACTTGTCCCTATTTTACCCAGCACTGGGTTGTATTTAACCCAGCATTTTTTTCATGGTTGAAGAGCAATGACACACTAGCCAACCTCCCCCACCTTTTCTCGCATGCTCTCCTCGTTCTCTTTGAGACAGGGCACCACGTTGTTTTTTGGTAGTCCTTTCTCCAGCTGGCTGACATGTTTGGCAAACTTGTTCACCTGCCTGCTCAGCAATTCTGCATCCAGCTCATCAAACTTATTCTGCATCAAAGAGATAATTGTCCATTTGACATTTAGAGGACACTTTCGTTCAGAATGGCTTCCAGCACACTGTTTGCAGGGACACTTCATCTGAAGCTATCTAGCATAAAGTGCCTTATTTAAGGCCGTAATTATGACAAGCATGAGTATGTATCTCAGTAACACTTCAGTTGCTGTGTCCCTGCTCCTCAGTACTTTGGAACTGGTCTTCAACCTTTGGATTAGGAGATTTTCAAGTGCTAGCGATCAACATAAAGTAATATACTATACAGTTTAAAATGAGATAAATCAATAAATACCATATTATCATGATGGGTGCATACTGTGACTGTGATGGGTGCATGTGATTTCAGCAAACGGGGCTTCATTACATCATAACTGTTTCGAAATGCTTCGAAATGTCAATGGTTCACTGCTAGGGGGCGATGTTTTCTGTGAACCCGCAAACCCGTGTCTATATATTGTTTTTATCTAATCTCAGATAAGATTTATAAAATGTCAACATTTTAAAGACACATTTGTATAATAAAAGGAAGAGTTTTAGTTTTTAGTCTCTTATTGGCCTGCTTAGAAAAGTTCTCAGCATTTATTTGAAATATAAATCTTTTGTAACGATTACAAGACAAGTACTAAGAACAAGTACTAAGAGATCAGATCACACATCAGCTGCTCAAAAAAATGTGCCAGTGAGACGAACAGAGCGCGAGCGCAATCCTGTGACAGTCACAGGCGGTAAATAGTGGAGCGCGTGAAGTAGAGATGCCAGGCACGAACACTGTTCAAGGTCTCCATTAATTCCTGCTTGTAGTAATTTAATGTGTATATATTTTGAAAGCATTGAATCGCTATAGAAATCGCGATTCATTCGATTCTTAGCTTTTTTAATCGATTACTTTCCGAAATCGGCGATTCACGATTCAAAAATACATGTTTCAGATCGATGCATTGCATCGTCGGGGTTTGTAATCGATGCATCGAGAAAACGAGTGAATCGTTACACCCCTAGTAAGTAGATAATCTAAAACTTTCCAATAAAACTATATGCAGACACATCGTTTTTTTTTTTTTTGCTGCAATTTTATGAGTCCATAGTAGCCGATTCAGCTCATATATTACAAAGTTATTTACATTTACATTTAGCAGACACTTTTATCCAAAGCGACTTACAAATGAGGACAATGGAAGCAATCAAAATCAACAAAAGAGCAATGATATGCAAGTGCTATAACAAGTCACAGTTAGCTTAATGCAGTACACCTAACAAGTTTTTAAAAAAAATCATATAATAAATAAAAGCAAAACAGATAGAATAGAAAAAGAATAGAGCAAGCTAGTGTTAGAGGCCTTTTTTGCTTTTGTTAATTGTATAATAAAAAGAAAACAAAGATATTATAAATATTATTATATAATAATATTGTATATCTATAATAGAGCATAAATATAGTTTACATAAAAAAATATATATTTTGGCTGAAAGAGGTATTTGCAAATTTTAATAAAATGTTGTTTATAAAACTAACTCTTTATTAGACGTTAATAATATACAATAAAATTTTATTCGTAATCTGTATATTAAATTAAAGTAACTTTTTCTTATCATATCATTCCAGGGCAACCCCTTCACTCTGGTATCAGCTCACTCATTGGTTGAAACACCCAGTTCAGTAATCAGTGAATTGTTGACTCGAAAACCACATCTGGCACCCGATCATGCAAGATCATCAAAAAAACAAAAAACAAAAAACCTATCCTATTGATATTGTGAGCTATATTCAGTAGATTTGCATAAATCCATATCAGCTATATAAATAAAAAATAAAGTGTAAAGCATTTCATCAACTGAGGTCAAGGCACAGATCACAAAGCAAACATCTCTTTAATCTTTTCAACAGCTGTAAGCACCACATAGAAAAGAAAAAAAAAAAAAGCCCAAATAAATAAAAAGATGGAGATTTAAAGTAAAAGGTGACATGTGCTTTGCTGGACATCAGTAGCAACTTTTTTTTATTTGGCATTTATACCATTTTAAGCTCAATGCTAATAGTGTCAGTGACTAGGAATGGTGCATGACACAAGACAAATCATTTACAAAACAAGCATGCAGGTGAAATTAATCTCAGCAGTGTTGGGGAGGAAATTACAAGATTACGATGCTACAGAATATCATTTGAGGCTAGAAAAACCTCTGAAATATAACAGGAAAATCTTCTAATTTAGAAAAACATTCTTGTCCCTGACATATGAGACCACAGTATTTCTGTCACTTTTAAAAATCATGATCTCGCTGATTTACAATCTTCAAACCCCCCTTGTTATTTAAGGGCTCTGCATTCCTCCATTAGTTGGCTTTACTGTGTGTCTCTGAGATCCTGGCGAAGGTTCGAGGGCTTATATGTGCGATATAATCCGTCTGGAAGCGAGAATTCGGTGTGCGTCGCCTTTTCCTTTCACCTTGTGTGGTGAAGAACGCATCCTGGAAACGCATGCTGGACGCCGTGGACTGCAAAGCACACATATACAAAACAACACTCTTGAAGAAAACCACAAAAGGTCAAGTATTCGCCGACCGCAGTCGCATTCAACCAACATATATAATATTTTGAGTAGAAGGTATTAAAGGGATAGTTCACCTAAAACTAAAAAAAATATTTTCCTTACCCTCATATCGTTCCAAACGTCTTTCATTCATCTTCGGAACACAAATAAAGGTATTTTTAATATTTTCTCATCATTTTTGTCCATTGAAAGACCAAGAAATCACAATTTTCAAACTTAGTCGTACGAGTTCTTCTCATGAATCGAGCGGTTTAATCCAAGTCTTCTGAAGAGAATACTAAAAATTCTGAAGAGAAATATAAAAATATCTTTATTTGTGTTCTGAAGACAAAGAGTCTAATTGATTTGGAATGACGTAAGAGTGAATAAACGATGAAAAGAGTTTTCATTTTTGGGTGAATGAGCCTTTTAAAGAAAGTTCGGGAAGTGAGAACTCACCAAACGACCTTTGACCTTTTTGGGCAGGTCTTCATCCAGTGTGTAAATGTCCTCCCTCTTCGCCAATACTTGGGATCCATCTTCAAATTCCACCTACAAACAAGAACACAGGACAAACCATGGCTGATTATTAGGGTAGCAGTAAAGCAGCAGTACTTGAGAGAATATGACTATGAGTGTGTGTTTACCTGGTACATATATGAAGTGTTAGAGCCAAGGTACTTGGCTCCATAAAAAAGTCCATCGGGCCACTTCACCTGAACAGCCTCCCCCACTTCAGGAGGCCCAAGCTGGGAACAATCTCTGCTCTGCGGGGTAAAAAAAAAACCTGATTTCTCTCAGATGTCCGAATGCCAAACTAAAAACATAGTGCTTATATACACCGAACTTTGTGAAAAATAAGAGGCTGACAACTTTGTAAGCATATACTGTATTTTTTGTATGACATTTTCATGCTTCAGTTTACTGCAAACACGCCACAGGATATTCATTAGAACAACTAATGGCTAGCAGTGATAGAAACACTCACCACAATGTCTTCAGGGAATGTATCATTGCTGAATGAGCCATCATCGAACATGACCTCATAGAATGTTTGGGCCGTGACCTGCGTAACACGTGAGCTGTAGTAACGAAGATTTTTGTGTTTGGAGATCACCGTCTGGCCCACTTCTAATTCACTTTTGCTGACTTTCAATTTCTGGGGGGGAGAAAAAAATGTTGATGATAATGGGTCAATTGTATGACATTTTCTCTGTCTGGATTTTTATTAATTGAAAAACAAAATTACATGCAATTCATATAGTCATTGACATGCCACTTTTCAAAGTTTTCAGATGTTTATTAAAGTCAAAAAGTTGTGCTTACACTACTGTTCAAAAGTTTAGGGTCAGCGAGATTTTTTTTAAGTGACCGTGAAGACTTTCTATTCAGCAAATAATCCTGAAAAAAAAACATTTAATTGCAATTTCCACAAAAATATTAAGTTTTCAACAAATGGTTATTGAGCAGCAAATCAGCATATTAGAATGATTTCTGACAGATCATGTGACACTGAAGACTGGAGTAATGATGCTGAAAATTCAGCTTTGAGATTACTGGAATAAACTACATTTTAAAATATATTCAAAAAGAAAACAGTTATTTTAAACTGCAATATTTCACAATATGAATTTTTTTATTGGTTTTTTTTTTGTAAGTTAATGCAACCTTGATGAGCATTAGATAATTCTTTCTTTAAAAACTTACCTACCTCAAACTTTTGAAGGGTAGTACAAGAAGTTTGGTATCATTTTTTAAAAAGACAAAATCTTTAAAATGAAATCACAGTAACTAACTATAATGTAAGTCAGTTTGTCACGTGACGAGACCACCATAAAACAGAAATGCATAGCAAAGTCAGGACCCCTGTAGAATCCCATGACTGTAGTCTATATCAAGGTCAGTAAGTGTCTTTATGAGACTTTTATGAGATGGCAAGGTTTTCAAATGTCAAATGGTATAACCCTGAAAAAAAAAACACAATCAAAATCCATTTTAATATTTTTTATTTGTAATTTTTGTTTAAAACAAGCCTTTTTTGAAAAAAACTATTTTGAAAAATATCTATTCATAGAGTATGATATGGTGTTCTTGTTTTTTGTTTGATGGTTAAACACAACTTATTAAAATATACGCACAGCACTGTAGCTCCGTGACTGGTGCCTGTGACAGGTGATGAAAACCACATACGGCCAATCATCAGGCTCCATGGGAACTCCAGCTGCGTGTGCACAGGTGACATGGAAAGAGGTTGGGCAACGACCACATGAGCACTGAATACACGCGCCAGACAGCCTCTTTATCCTGTTCCGGCAATATATACACTTCTACAGAGAGAGCGAGAGAGAGAGAACGATAGAGTACACAGATGATAACACATAATAGAATAAAAGAGCAGTGTAAGACACATTCATTTTAGTTTTAGTACTTCATTAGTGTGTCAAAAGACATTAAATTGCTCAGCTTTGATGGGCTGTTAAGACTTTTGCACTTGTTTTGCAATTTCTACTGTCTACGAGTGTGTGTGTGTGTGTGTGTGTGTGTTTATTACTCACCAGTTTATATCTCTGAACAGGTATAGCACTGATGTCAATAGGAGCTCTCTTCACCACATCAATGAACTTCACCTCAGGGAGACCCACAGCACACATCACATGCGCCCATCTATAGAATGCATAATATATGAACCACTTGAAGCATTCACTATTACTAAGAACACTAGCCTGACCGAACTCTTATTTGAAATACCGGAGAATGTGTGTTAAAAACAACAACATACTCAATCAGGAGATTACCTGTCATCTGAGGTTCTTTTTAACGCACCTCCCCTCAGGTTACACAAAGAGCATCCCTGGTATATAACACACAAACAGACACAGTCAAACATTTTTAAAAAGGCAAGCAAACATGTAAGTAGTCCATAAATAATGCTGATGCAGAAAACTGTGAATGTTTGAATTATTACGTACAGCTGCCAGGTCTCCGCTCACACATCGGTCACATGTCCACACTGGGCCGACATCATGAGCAGCAACACCGTAGCAACCTGTGGACCAATCAAACCAAACTGTTATATTCTCCATTACGCCAAGCTATGTTTTTTTGTGTGTTTACTTAAGATATACATTTTTAAATGTATTAATACATTTACTCAATTATGCTTTCTAAAAGGTCAGAAATCATGAGATTAGTTGCAACAATTTTATTATATTAACAGCCCTATTTTAAAATTGATTTGTAACAATATTTATTGTAAAAAGCAGGATACAAAAAAACAAAAAAAAACAAAAAGAAATAAAAATGTTTCCCCTCCAGCTTATACATCTAACATGGTGAGCAGAAAAATATTATCATCTATTTAATACAAAGTAAAGTTTTTCAAATAATATTATAATAATTAGATTAAGTAGAATGGCAATTCAAAAGCCAATTATTTAATTTAGTAATTAATTTAAGTTTAATATAGGTTAAAATCATAGTCAAACAAAAAAAGAAAAAGTAAATCAATGACCAATATTTTTGTCATATAGTACAAATGGTTCTTTATACAGGAAATTAATATTTCATAATTATTAAATTATTAATTATTAAATAATTAATATATGTATAACTTAATATATTAAAATATTTAAGGTTTTAAATTTAATAAGGTTTTTTTAAAAAGAAATTAACACTTTATTTAGCAAGGATGTATTAAATTGATCAAAAGTGAGAGTAATGACTTTCACATTATTACAGAATATTTCTGTTTTGAAGAAGTTCTGTTCTTTTGAACTTTTTGAATTTTAAGAATCTTGAAAAAAAAAAAAACCTATCACCACAAAAGTATTAAATAGAGTATTAATAAATAAAAGACTTCTTTAAAAATCATTAAAAAAATTTGAATGGCATTGTAATTTAATATTCAGTTTTTAGTAATATTTTATAAAGGGGGTCCACTGCCAAGCAATCATCATATTTGGGTTTTTTTCATGTGTTATGTGTGTTGTTGAGAGATCTCAGTGACGTACTGGCATGAACTTGAACACAGCAGCTATTGCAGGCCACAAGAGGACTGGATCCATCCTCCTCCAGCAGTGTGTTCAAGGGACATGGGCCCTCCTGGTACGCAAAGCAAATTTCAGGGATCAGAGGTCGTGATGTCAAGCTTGCCTCCTGAGAACATGACCCCTGAGACTCTGTGGCAGTACTCGTCAAGACATCGTGCCTTCTCTCATCTAAATTATCAGGCTGTGAGAGCAAAAACAAGAGTCTGAATTATGCGTGTGTCACAAAGCACATATGCACAAATCAGTACATAGTATCTGTCTACATCAGTTACCTGACAGTATGGCATGAAAAGGGTGCAGACAGCACAGTGTGGAGCGCTTTTAGCTGCAGTCGTGTTGTACTCTCGTTCATACTGAAGATGAGCTTTTCTGTGTTGCCACAGATGCACTAAAGGCTTTGCCCATTCCTCAGTTTCCGGCTCCTCTTCTTTAGTCGCACACTCCTCCATAGTCTCTGAGTCACACACACGAATAAATATTTACTCTAAGGCCGTCATGTATGATTAATTATAACCTGACGCAGCTTCTTAAAAGCGCATGTGTGCACGGTTTGAGACACTGAAAAACAGCAGGACACAAGAGCCAACGATGTCAGTCTGCATGTGTACATTCTTCTTATAATACCTATTCCTAATTGTAAGTTTATTGCTCATAATAAAATGAAAGCGGTTAAACATTCACCATCATCGCTGGCAGCCTGCTGTTTCACAGCACTTGGCACTGCTCTTGCCGTGGGCTTTCTGAGGGGGTGACGCCAGCTCTTGGTTGTCTTCTTAACAGTTTGCATATGATACTGTGAGAGCAAAAATAAGAGAGACAAAGAGGCGGTCAGTGAGAGAGATACACTTTCCAAAAACATAAAATACTGTTGCAACCTTCATTGTGCATGTGTGTGTGTATATGAAGAGTTCATTGGCAGAAACAGAAACAGAAAACGTGTTTTTTCATTGTGCATTCCAATTAATCTCAATCAAACTGCAGTTAAGTTATTTTGATTAGGTAAAAAAATAACTAAAAACTGAGTTATCTGTTTTTGCAAATAAACTCTTCATATATAGTGTGTGAACATTTATTAATGCTTTGGCATCGTTAAGCTTCGTTAACAAGGTGTTAAGGTGTGAACAGCAATTATGTGAGTGCTCTGATTTAGGTGTAGTGTAAAGAAATTTTCACTGGATTCACAACAGGTGTAAATTAATATACAATACCATTCAAAAGTTTGTGGTCAGTAAGATTGAAAAAAATTTAATTGATACTTTTATTCAGCAAGGATGCATTAAACTGATCAAGTCACAGTAAAGACTCACATTGTTACAAAAGAAATTGTATTGTTCTGTTTGAACTTTCTATAGATTAAATATAAATAAACATAACATAAATAACCAAATATACATAATTAAAAAAAACAATAAATATGAAAATTATGTGAAATTACAAAAAAACAACAAAAAAAACATGTTTTTAAGCCCACCAGGTGTCTATGTTTTTTTGCATATGTGATTTGAGTTGCTTAAATTTTTTATGCAAAATTTACTTTAGGTTTAGTTAAGTTTTGTTTATCTAAAAGAAAAATGACATAGCAAAACAAAAGCCAATCAGAACACATTTGTTATTTAACATTCAGGAAAAAAATTTGATTTTACTGCAGACAAGTTCATCCAGTATCAGATGATTAAACTGGAAACCAAGTGATCAGCAAAATGTCTTGTCACCCCGGTCAAATGCTGATTGTGACGGAAGTTCAGAACTATATAGAATAGGATGTACTGCTTGTCATGGTGTAGCACCAGAACTCACTGTACAGACTTCCCCAGGCTCCAGGCCCGTTTCCACATACTCAGGGTCACTCATGGCATTCTCCTCACTGGATTCACTGCTGCTGTCAGCACCTTTATCTCCTGATTCACACCAATCAGAGTCGCTCACAGACCCATCATGCTCTGACTTCGCACATTCGTAATACTCCTGACCTTTGAACTCTTCCTCCTGAGGTTCCTGAGAGCCTGCCTGCTCACCGAGCACACAAGCTTTAGCTGGTTCCAACTCCACGTTCTGCTGCTTCAGATCCGGGGGTGCGTTTGGAGCCATGTCTGCACCAGAGCACTGCATGGGAATGGGCTCCAGGTTGGTCCAGGTCTGAGTGCATGATGAAGAGTTTGGGGAATCAGGGAACTTTTCTTGTTGGAACCCCGATTCGGACCACATGGTGTAGGGCAGCGAGTCATGAGCATAGTCTGTGAGACTGCTCCCACCTGTGGTAAGACCCACTACCAGCTCGGGCTGCAAGCTCTCAATGAGCACTGCGGGATTCTGGGAGCTGAGGTTTTTCCAAATGGTGAAGGTTTTGGACTCCATGAAGGAGCCCTGGAAGGATGTGAGAGAGCTTGACTGCTCTTCAAGACTTCTTTCTACTGAGTTATCGGTCATTTCAGAGTCTCGAGCGTCCATTAAATCCACATCTGCTACGGTAGAACATTGTAAAATACTCAGAGTAGTGATTTTAAACTGTGAAATGGACTCATTTTGAGTGTTCTGGTCTGCGGATGGTACGTGTTCATGTCCATCCTGTTTGGATTCCTCTGGTGGCCCCCATTGTGGAACCAAGGAAGGAGATGCTGGTTTTGCTCTAAAGGTGTCTGAGATTGAGTTTTGTGATTGGCTTACACCTTCTTGGAGTGCAACAAGGGGCCAATCGAGACAAGGTCTTTCAGAATAAATCCCCACATCATCTGTTATAACAGGAGGCGAGTGTGATTTTTCCAGATGGAGAACAGGTGCATTATTGTTCGGAGTGTGAGGTCTGTGATTTGTGGTGTCGGGTCGGACAGCGAGAGT